GCTTTAAATAAAAAATGAAAAAAAATAATAAAAATATAATAAAAGCTGCAGAGCTGAGGTCACCACACATTACTTGCTTGCCATCATGAGGTTTCTTTTCTTCCCATGTTAGATATCCACCAGGTTTCAATCCTCTTATTCTCGCTCTGCTCCTCGATTTGCTATCAGAGATTCTGAAAACAGCATCTTTTCCCTCATTTCTTGTTATGTCTGGGGAAAATTCTAAATCCTGATGAAAAAGGATCATTCTCTACTACCCCAAGATTATATTCAGGAAACAGCTAATCCAGGTTTTAAAATATCCTTATTATCTCTATGAAAAATCAAAGTATTCCTGTATTTCTTCCTTCATTTTTCCTATAGTCTGCAAACACCTCATGATAGCTAGAACTGCTGTCTCTCTTGCGTATCATGTAAAAATCCAGACACTTCACTGATTACAGATACTGCTGTACACTGCCCAGTCCCAAAAGCAGAAAAGGGAAGTTATACCTCCAAGTTTCATTTTGAAAATGTTTCCCGAGAACCCTACAATTCCAATGGACTGAGTAGGATGCGTGCATTTACTCCTATAATTCCATTTGCACAAGAACTACAAGATTTGGCTTATTCACCAAAAGGTAAATTTCTGGTGCCTATTTCAGAATGATAATCATCTTACCTTTACAGTCTCACTTAAGACTTGGTTTTTATCTGCTTCTTCACTGGAGTGCAATTCTAGTTTATTATTTAACTCCTGTAGCTGTTGTGCCTGTTCATTCAAAAGCACTTGTGCCTGATGCTCCCGATGTAATGCATTATTCAATTCTTCACATGCACTTTCAAACCTCTCATGGATGATCAGTTTCTGATAAGGGAAATATATTGTGTTTGATTGTGTAATTGTATTCCCTTGTTTACATGCTTGACTTTCAGAGTTCCATTTGCAAACATATCAAATACTAAACCAAAAGCATGCTAAAGATGAATATTTAGGGTTTTTAACATGAAGACAGATTACCGAACAGTAAAATAGCAGACAATTTAATTCTCTGTGTTTTTTCAAAAAAGCATTCAGGGTACTGTAAATAGTAGGCATTCATTATTCTACTCAAATTAGCACCCCAGGTTGTAAAGAATCGATATTTAGAAGGAAATATGCAGATCAGTGTCCCACATTTCAGTGCGTATCTTATTAACCCTTGTAAACATCTTTCTGGACTCCTCCTCCCCTTCCCAAAATGTTCCAGAAAGAAAAATTAGTTCTTCAAGAAAAAACATCATCTATGTTTGAACAAAAATCTAAAATGTGACAATTTCATCTAACTGACCCAGAATTGTAAGGCAATAAAACCCATTAAGAATAAAACTGAAGATTATTAGATATAACCTTGTCCATTTGAGTAAAAAAATCCATTTTACCAGCTAGGAACAGGAAGGAGAATGGATGTGAGATCACTTATTAAATGTTCTCTGCTTGGAAGTGTTTTGATTGGGACACAGGTCTACGAACTAGGATCTAACCAGCTAGGTCTACCTCAGGATCAACACTGGGCACAGCTACAGAAAGTGCTGCTTATTCTGGTACATGACTTATTTTGGTTATACTGTGCACCTGTAAAGCTCGTACAAGAACCCTTATCCATTCACTTTCTGATATCTCAACTGTGAACTCAACTCTGAATGCAACCTATAGAAAATAAGCATAGCAGGAGAAGTGCCCAGTGAACCTCCAGCATGCTAAAGCAAGACAAGTTTGTCCCCCTCCAATAAGGACCAAAGGCACAGTTCCATGAGGATGACAGGGGACAAACCGACAACCCACAAAATGGCATCAGTCCCTCAAACACCATGCACATTACTCACTATACTGTGGCTTCAAGTGGTTTTGTTGTCTCTTCTCATTCCTGCCAGACAGTGTTATTTACAGGTTAGTGAACCCATAGTGTTTAAGTAAATCGATCAGCGACAGCAAAGCATCGGAGGAATTTGGTGCGTATGTGCTACTGAGAATGAGCAAGAGGGCTTTTTTTTTTTCCCTTGGCCTAAACTTACTCCTTCAAAGAAACAGACACACTAAAATTTGCACTAACTAGCGCAGGTTATAACCCAGACTCAAAGCTACAGTAAAATGTCTATCATAATATTCAGCAATATCCATGCAGAGTTTAAAAGACTACATTGATGCTTTATGAACATCTCATGAACACACTTACTGGATACCCTCATTCCAGCTGACTTTACTCTGTTGAAACGAAATCTATAAATCCTTTTAGGGTATATAAATCACACCAACATGTTTAACATATGGAAGAAAACCTGGGTTGTTGAAGACAAAACATGTAATTTACACAGAATACCTCCTTGTACAAATCAAGGAGAAACTCCTGTGGAAAGGAGATAGTTCTAAATACATCTGACTTACAGTTTAGTGACATTTACAAGGCAACTTTTCTGGAAAATTCTGTTAATAGTAGATTGATTTTATACTTGTTTTTCAAAAGAACACAAATCAAAAAATGTGTAAAGAGGAGGATCTCTTGTAAACAGTCTCCTCTAAATCAAATATACTCACAGATTGCTTAAACATATTTAATTGCTCTTGCAGGTTCTGGGCTTTGTCAGCTTCTTTTTTCATCTCACTGAAATTCCATCTGAATTCTGAAAGTTTTAGGCGCAGTGAGCAGCGTTCCACCTCTGCTGTATGAAGTCTTTGTATAAATTCAAATATCTGCTTCTGCAAGGATGCTGTAATTTTCTGTTAGTAAGCAGAAACAGAGTCATATGCCTTTTTAGCAATAAAATCAATCACATTTAATATCCAAGCAAATTAGACAAAGCTATCATTTTGTCCTCCACCTCTAAAAGACACACGCAAGTGCAAAAATGTAAACTTGTTTCACCTATTGTTGAGGGTTACTGAAAATTCTGTTTTCAAGGAAGTACCTTGAAGGTAAGGCCCACAACAGAAGACAGATTAAGTGAAGAAGAGTTTATCCTTTCATTTCAGTTGAAGGGAAGATTTTATTTTCTGAAAGATAGAACAGTAAGCAGGAGAAAAAAGAAAAAAAAAACACAAAACGAAAAACCTTAACATTTGTTTAAAGCCAAAAGCAAGTTTGTTCTTATAAAGCAAATACAGTTTTGATAGAACTTTGAAAAAAATCTTTTTCTTGGATACATCAAATCTCTTCTGAAAATTCTTTGACAATAGAAGCTCTGTTCACACCCTAATGCTTCTGAGTGTTGCAAATCAACTTCTGATTCTCTATATAGTTGACTTCAACGTAACAGATTCATAAACAAATCCAAAACAAAATTAATGGTACTACCAAGAGAGCTTCACCGTAACACTCATGCTGTGAACCTACTGTTTACATGAAGAAGCACTATACATACACATACCATAATGGGTAGTCTGTCACACAGTCCAGCTTCCAGGGCCTGGGTGTTTATTTTATGAAGTCCATGAGCCAGCCTCTGCACCAAGGAGTCCTCCTCCAGGTAAGTAATGCTCCTGCTGCTGTCTAGCGGAACAGTCTCCATTATTACATTCAGCTTGTCCATAAGTTTTGAGAAGGAGTTCCTGGCCACACTTACAAGTGAGTGTCCAGAAAGCCAGGGCTTTGCATCTTAAAGAAACATCAAACATGTTATTAGTTCTGGGGTTTTTCAGCGGAAAAAAGCAACAACAACAAATACAAAAAATACTCAGTAGGAAATTTCCATTAAAGAGTGGAAGGCAGCTAACAGGAATATCTCAGAGAGACTTTGGGACTAATTCTGTATTTAGCAATGAACACTCTACTCCTATCAATCTTTGGATGTAAGGGTAGGATAGGATTCTAAGGAATAGGATTTTTTTGTCAAAGAATAATTTCCCAGTTGTTTTTATGTTCTCCTCCAATACTATATTTCTTAAGTCTTTCTTGGATCTCCTAATTTTGTAATTCAGAAAATATGCAAGACAAATGAAAACAAATGCAAGCCAGGTCAAGTGTGTCAGATGTGATAGCACATGGTAAATTACTTTATTGCAATATTTACTATGCAAATTTCTGAGGGTTTCCTGACTCCTCTTCCCTCCCCTCTATAGATGTCTAAATCATTTGCTGTTCAAAATTAGTGAGGCTTGGTACCTTAATGCCATACTATTTATATTCTGAGACAAGAGAATATAATTTACCTTATTCCAAGGCAATTAAAATTTTACAGCTACAATTACTTATTTCCCCACAGGATTTTGGTAATCATCCTTCTCATATAATGGACTTAAGGCCCCAGCACACCCAACATGTCCTGCTTACTGCTAGATTCGTCAGGTCTGTAATTAATAATTGTGTTTAATGTTGATAAATAAAATTGTCAGTGCTCCTTCCACTAATTGGTATTCCAGATAACAGTTAATAGGTTTATTTATGCCTTAATAAAAGTCTTGTAATTTAGTTTTCCCTCTGCTAGGCAGGTCTTAATCTGTCATTACTTGTCTTATGATACTATCAGTGTAAGATGACAAGCATGGAAGAGCTTATTTACATTCAGTAGTACAGCAGATCTCCTGTTGCTGCAGCGAATAAAAATATTTACTTAAGAGTATAAACAGAAGAAAAAAAAACCATAGCTTTTTTAAGTTAAATGATTTCTTTTTATACATTGTGAGGATAAAACCAAAGGTCCAAAGCAAACAAAACATGATTATTGGTATTTTTAGATTGTGATTCTCATCATAAAGAATTTATCATTTACGCAACATGAAATTTATCTGTAAGTAAACAAAAAAGAAAAGCACATTATAAAGTCAAATATTCTTTTTTTCAGAGCTATTCGCCTGCTTGGTTTCAAAATACCACCATTCCAATGACTCCAGTGAATAACTGGAGCACCATATTTGAGTACATGTTCTCCATAACCCCAGGTAGTAGGAAATCGGTCTTTTCTTCATGTCTAAGATAGCACTCTTTCTATTAATCTTTAAAACTAAAAATCTTCTCTGGCATTTTTATCTTGCACTTCAACTAACAAACATCCTTTGAAACTAAAAACATATTATTCTTCTCATACCCAGAAGAAACTGCAACTGTAATGCTCTGTCTACTTTGGCCAAGGCTCCTCTTTTCCTTATGTTGGCTCTCTATTACTGATCACATGAAGGATAACCTACCTTCATCATTTTAACTCTTACCACAGATTACCTTGTCCCACCTGTCTTTCAGTTTCAAAGGCCATCTCTTTTCTCCAATCATGATGCATTAATTAGTTTGAATGTTTAGTTAAATTAACCTAAGATTAAAATTAGAACATTTGTACTGCTTTCCATGTAAGATGGCACTGAAGCCCTCTAAAAAACTCTCCATTGCCATGATTTTTGGTAAACATCAAACTAAGTATACTGCCAATGAGCTACCTTTCCTTAATTTTTCCTAGTATTTCTACCTGGTATCTCATTTTACAGAAGATTGATTGCCTGCCAGAAAACACAGTATTTCTCTGTATTGTGCCATACCTAGGATGGCAGCCCCTAGAACTCGCAGTTTAACTGTATTAGAAGTTAATAATAATAGTTCAGGCAATTGTGTTGTATCATTTTGAAACAATCATTCTACTTCATAACCAGAATTCCTGTTATTCAGTACACTTCAGCATCCAGAACTTAAGGCACTTTCTTGGGATGAGGAATAAAAAAGTAAATCATCACCTCTGTCTATTTTTTTTATGAAGAGCAGTTTGGGGTTAATACACTGAAATATGTTGATGAAAGTTACTGATCGCATTGAAAGATGAAATCAGAATATAATGCAACTCCACAAGAAACTGTATCTATAATCATTGGGCAGACAATATGTAGTTTAAGCACATACATTTTAAGTACCTGCCCAAGAAGGATCAAGAATTTGGAATAAAAGCATTAAATGACGTACATTGTGGTAAGAAAGTATTAACACAAACACAGGTATATCAGAAAGAGCTATTAATTCTTACATTAAACAAATGAAGAAAAAGACAATGATAAGTGACAAAACTTACTTCACTGACAGATGAAGAAAGAATTACTGCTTACCGTTTTGGTGAAATAGAACAGTCAGCAGGATGAACTTAGTAGTACTACACACAACTATAATTTTCGTGCTAAGTTTCAAGATTTTTGTGTATGTGACAGTTGATTATATTTGTATGCAAAAAGCTTGACCTTTACATTCTCTATCACACTATAGATGCTGTTCAAACAAATCTACAAAACTCACTTTACAAAAAACCAAACCAAACCAAAAAACCCCAATACTTTAATGAACTGTATTCAGACTGAAACTAAGAGGTCATTCCAAGACATGCTGGAATAAGAACCAAACAAATTAAAAGTGGGGAGGGAAACAATCATGAATGTCAAACCAAACCCACTTTTTTAAAGGTTAAAAGCTGAAGAAATGTGCTTCAAATGACCAGAGTGCAAAAGCCCAAAAGTTCCAGTTATCCAAGTAACCTGGATTTGATTTCTTTCAGCTGCCTTAAATGGTTCTTCAGAACCTAGCCAAAGTAATTTTTAAGACACTGAACCATTCCATATGGATAGCACTTTCTTGTACCTACTATCTCCTGTGATGTGCAGTCTAATCTGGAACTGCCATTATTTCAAGATCTGAAGAGAGCAGATGCCTCTCAGATTGCCTGTTTGAAATATGACTTAGAGAACACAAAATAATTTCATAGAATCATTTAGGTTGGAAAACACCTTTAAGATCACCAAGTCCAACAGTTACCCTAACACTGACAAGTCTACCACTAACCCATGTCCCTAAGCACCACATCTATCTGTCTTTTAAATACCTCCTGGGATGGGGACTCAACCACTTCCCTCGGCAGCTTGTTCTAATGGTTGACAAGTATTTCCCAAGTATGCAAGCTTTCTTTCAAATATATTCCTTCAGAGTCTTATCACTTCAATACTTCTGGAAATTTCATGTCCAACTTTAAATTTTTGAATCAAAGGTTCTTGGGAGACTTTTGATCACATGAGCAGCAGAATTCCAAGTACAGTACTTGAGCAGTTAGATCTTGAGGTTGTATGAAAATGACTTCAAATAGAGATAAGCTATGAAAGAATCACCAGACTGTGGCTATAACATTCTCAGCATTGCTTTTCCTAATTCTCAGAATCAAAACTGTGTTGAGTGCAGAGATAGCAAGTAAATAGAGTCCACCAGAATTTTCATGTACTTTGATATTGGCAAAATATCATGAGGTGTAGGGTATTCTAACTAGTCACTTCAGAACATTGATGCTGCTGTACAATTTCTCGTGATTCCTTATAAATTTTCTATTCTTACTTAACACTCTAGACACAGGAACACTTTCAGTATAAACCCTGTAAATATTCTGAAGCACAGTTCAAACTTTGTTTTGTAAGGATGTAAATCTAAGTTACTGAAAACAGGATGATCAAAGAAGAGAGCACCTAAAACTGAATCAAAACACTTTTGATTCCGTGGCTGACTTCCGGTACCAGTTTACTGTTCAGGCTTTTGGGACATGTAACACCTTCTCTCTGTTCTGCTAGTTCCTTTTATTCATCTAAATTATCCTTCCTTCAATATCCTTTCTTCTGTGACAGAATTGTTGGGACTTTGAAGCTACCAGGTACCAAGGAACTAAGGATGACAGTAGCACAGAGGAACCAAGTGAGATCTTGTACCAGTTCTCATTGAAAAGAAGTTAAGGAAGATAGTTAACAGCTGGGAATCAAGAGGTGGTATTTCCAGAGATTGGCACTAAAATTTTCCATAGGCACAGTAGAATTCTATACAAGGAGAGACTGAGAAAACTAGGGAATCTAGACACAAATCTAATTAAGAATATCCTTAGAGAGGGAACTCAGTAAAGACATAAAAAAAGGACTGCTATACATTGTGTAAATTGAGAGCATGTTATTTCTCTCTCAAAACCCGCAAGATAGCAAATAAACCAGATGAAAATAGTATCCATCAAATTCACTGGTTTTCCAGACGCCAGCAATTTGGAAATTCTAGATTTGTATCATATAAAACATAGTAGGAAATTATTTCTTTTCAGTCAGCAGCAGTAGTGTCCCACGTTGAATATGTGCCAGTTTTAGGGCCCACACTTAAGAAATACAGAGATCAAATAGACAGAAATTATGTAGATTTTCTCTATGGAAAAAAAAAATAGGTTTAGCTTCAGTAAAATACTTTTTGAATATTAGAACAGTGGAACAAGATAACTAGGCAGCTTGTAAATATTACTTTATTGGAAGCTTTTAAGAACAGGTTAGCCAAATATCTACTGGCATGGTGTGGACAGTTTTTTCTATCTCACAATGAAGCAGGCAAAATTGTTGATATGCTTTCTAGAAGCACTCTACAGCCTTCTGTTTCCATGACCCTATACACTGAAATGATAAAGTATCATATCACCAATTAAAGAAAATTAATCTGTTCCAAAAATACAGTATTCCAGAGATTTGATTAGAATAATTTAGATAAAATCCTAAAAATGGAAATGATGTAACCACTCTGATTATTTTTTTTTCTTATCTTCTACTACAAGAATATACTTTTAAAATTACCTGTTTTGTTAACAACATCCTGTAATTCAGTGACGGAACTGACTATTGCAGCAAGGAGGTTAGAACTAGTAAACCAGCTGAGCGCTTCAACACAATGAATTTGTTCATCTTCGTGACCTGTGAAACAGAATTGTAGCTAGCAATAAAACTGAGTAACTTAGACAGGCACACTACTATCTCCAGCTCCTTCAGAACTTGACCAAAACTGAGTATATAAGACACAAAATAATTCTTCTTTCAGGACAATTTAGACTGTATTAAAAATGCTTCCAGAACTACTGGAACAGAAAAGTAGATGGATCTTCTAGTTTGGGAAATATTTTTCATACCATTTATCCTTGTAGGGGAAAGCATGAGCCAGTCTGGTAACAGAAAGGGACAGAAAGACTACATACATCTATAAAGAAAAATTTAGAAATCCTATCCTAATATTTTACCTGAATCAGAAAGCAACTTTTTGCATTTTTACTAGGAAATAAATATGAAAAGTAATTATAAAACTGATTAATAAGAGAAGAGGAAATATCCTTTCAAAAAAATGTGTTGATGGTCCATCATTTAGGAACTTTACAAGATAGTAAAAAGAGAGAGACGATGCGGTAGCACCTAGTTCTGAAATCTGTAACGTAAATGTCAAGGATATCAAACAGCACGAGTTCATGTGTGTATTTGTAACTTCTCTTTCAAAGCTTAACAGACTAAGCATTTCCTTTTAGAGGAAATTACATTTGTCAGGAAATCGAGAAATCACAAATCCAGAAATTACATTTGTCAAAATGTCACTAAATTTGTCTTTACACTCTATTAATAACAACATTACTATTTGTTATTCACTAACCATGTAATTTGACGTAAGACTTATCAAAGAAGAAAACAATTAGCTTACTTGACAGATTACGCTTGCCTTTGGAGTCACCTATACAAACTAGAACTCCAATGCCTTCTTTGAAGTCATCTACCCAGGAGAAGAGGGAACTAGAAGATTTGGCTAAAACTTTAAGTCTGTTGGCTGCCAAAACTGCAATCACACCTCTTCGGAACACATGAATCAAGCCTTTGAATTTTCTTTTCTTGAGTTTTGCTTCATCTTGATTGTTCTCCTCTACATCAGAGAGAGCATGAACTAGGGTCCTAATCTCCTGGCTCGCTAATTCATAAATGTTGACCTGATCCTGGAGGAGGTCTCTTTGGGAAGACATAGCACACAATCGGCCGTAGAGAGGATACAGGGCACCTGCTAATAGCGCACAGGCTGCCAGGAGAGATGAATGCTCCTTCTGAACCTGCGTTAATGTATTTTTCACAGAAACATTTTCAAGGGCCAATTTCTCCCGTCTCTTTTCAAGGACATAAATTTTTTCCTTGTTTTTCTCTGCTGTTTCTTGGTATTCCTGGGATAAGGGGGAAAAACAACCAAAACCAGAAGAAATATTAACTAGAAGATATTTTCTAAAATAACAAAATCATTTTTACCTAGACAAAAGCTAAAAGAACTTTTTTTTTTTCCAGATTCAAGTAACACGTTAAAGGAACAAAATTATTAGTAATGACTGTCAAAGTATCTCTCCTAGCAAACAGTTACAGAACCAGATATATGAAAACAAATCAATAGTACGAGAAGAATTTGCACAATCTCCAACTACAAGTGGACTCCAGATTTCTGACGATAATCCACTAGTACTGCAATAGCCCACAGAAGGTCTAACAGTACCTGGTTGTCCACAATACAGTTTTATGAGTTGGCTTAACAATAAGCAGTTACATGCTGCAATTTCAGAAAGAACATTGCTTTCTGCGAAGCAGAAAAGAAAGTTAGCGTAAGAGAGGAAAAAAAGAAGGAAAACTCTGGAAGATAAACCTAGACAGATTGGCAGCAGCTGGGAAAGGGGAAGTAAAGGTGATCTCTTAATTACTTTGTAATCAACCCCCTACTTATATATTCACAGATTAATTAGGTCTCATACAAAACTGAGTTTTCAGAAGAACAGTGTAATACAGATATTTTTATTTTGACTAGTTCCTTTATATATTTTTTCAACTTGCAGAACATTTTTTGTTTTCCTCTATATGCCCTGAAATGGGGAAAGAGGGAGATTTAAAACTGTAAACCAGTGCAGCAAAATTAAGATACTAACAAACCATGGAATGCCAGGACTAAGGTTAGAACATGCAGACTGGTTGCTTTTGATAACATGCTGTTCTTGTACAGGAATCAAGACACTACGCTGGGACCTCAGAGACTTAGACTGGCTTCTTGATGCATGAGAGTCCTCTGTGATTGAAACAACCACTTGAGGATACATTTAAACAGGATCCAGTGGTCTAAGGAGATAATGAATTAAAGGCAGTGTTCACAAAGAACCCACAAGCTCAAGTTAAATGCTTATGCTCCAGTTACAATATGTGGACACAAAAAGGTAAACATGAATGGAGTGACAAGTCCATATGATGAAGAAAAGAGGATTATGCTAAGCTTCAGCTACCTCTCCCAAGAGCTATAAGCAATTTTGTTAAAAATGGGTGATATTATTCCTGCTAGTAGTGGCCAAAAGGGAAGTAAAATGGTGTCATCCAGCCATACTCTCACGTGCTCTATTTGGTACAAGTCCCAAGGAAGGAGTGAGGGGGGCACCCTTAGTTTCTTCTCCTTCCTCCATCCTGCAAGCACAACATGAAAAAAACCAAAAACCCCACCCCCCACCCCCCCCCAAACAAGAAACCCCATAGCTATCCCTACATTAGAAATAAAAGATTCCATGCTTCTATAGAGATGTGCCCTAGTCAGTTCAGGATATCTTCGACCAAATAAATATTATTATTTTTTTGCAAGAATTTATAGTGTTATTACAATACTTTCAGTGATGCAAAAATAGAGGAGGTAACTAAAAGATTTAATTACAAAATGCAATTTACAGGCCTCGTATGTCACTTTACTACTCTAAAACGAAGTATGAACATGTACAATACTTCCAGTGCTCCTGCATTATTTACAGTGTTTGATTTTTATAGAGAAAAACCCTGGTAGCATGACTGGAAGGAACTGAAAAGGTAAGCTGAATTTAGAAAACAACTTATGGTTTCTGGCCATCACAGGTGAAAGGCCAAAATCTGAGTAAACAAAGTGTGATCCCTACAGGGCTGTTGGGCAGCAATACTAACATTCAGCGCTCTGGCTAATTAAAGCTTATTTTTTAAAAAAGCTTAGTGGTTTTATGCTTATATGGTAACATAAAAAAGTGAACAAGACAATCTCTGACCACAGAAATGTAAAAGTTTTGTAAGAATATACACCTTCTTGTTTTTACCAGCTAGTAATTGCTTTTGTCTGTTTATAGGGTTTTCTTCAAAGCTTAAAATCACAGTTTTTGAAAGGGACACAGAATTCTCTTCTTAAACATGGGCTGGCTTCCTTCAGTGTTTGAGCTTTGAGGGACACCTCACCAGGTTGCAGAATTTGTTGGATTTCAAGAATCCTTAACAAAAAAAATGCAACCAGCAACACTATTTTATTCTATTTCTTACTGGGTCCTTATCCTTTATTCTGGCATGAAAACAGAACCGGAAACTAGAAATATAAAGACACTATGACTTCAAAAGGTTTTCCTTTATTTCAGCTGTTTTATTTTTCTGAATATATACATATACATGTAAATAAACATCATCAACACCACTGTCCTCCATTTCTTTCCTGTGTTTTAAGTACATGGGCCAGGCATGTCCAAAGAGACCCAGTGGCTCAGGAACACTGTAGTTATGCTTACATCTCCTTTTGCATTGATTGCACTGACTTCTGATACAATTGCAAGATACCAGCAGCCTTTAGCTAATTCATCTGCCTTGCTATAAAAGCAACACTTGCAAACAAAAAAGGCAGCCAATAAAAGACTTTTTTTTCCTCCCTAGAGGACTTTTTCGCTTTTGAATTTAGCAAACCTTTTATTTTTCTATTGAAATTAACATTTTTAAAGTATTACAGGATTTTTCTCTTACAACATGTTTTTGCATATCATAACAAAACCCTTCCATTTTAAGTGGTTGCCACAAAAAATGGGGACAGATTAATAACTGTCTACATAATAAACAAACAACAACTGATAGTTAAAATTCAGAGGACATTTCCTATGAGACTGTGCACAGTCTGAATAAATAATTTGTGTGAGGCTAAGGAGCAGGCATAGTAACATTTTCAAAATGGCACACTATCAAATCAAGAGGACTGCACTCCTACTACAAAAGGCAAGGAAAAAGGATATGCATTTTAAGCTCCATTGATGCTCCAAACATGGAGACCACGGACAAAGAGGAGCTGTATCTGTAGAGTGCCTTGTTTATTGCTGATCTGCGATAAGGCCACTCTGGGAATTTCTGCCCTACAGAAAAACAGTGAAACTGCTTTCTGATTACACCATCCCTCTGACCTACAGTAACAGCGGTGAAGTAGTACCTATTAACATCCATAGATCCTATCTTGGAGTCAGGGACCCTGAACAGTACTGGCTGGGGACAGCAGCAGTGGCAGGTGTCACTGCTACTAAAACCTCTAGATTTTGCAATGTTACATTTTAATCATAAGGAGATGAAAAGCCCTAACTCTCTACTATAGTTCTAAAAAACCAAAACAGTAATTTCCAAGATATGTTACGCATATTGCTGTGCAGTTAGAGCTCCCTGTTAACTCTTGAGAGTCTGAACTGACAAGTCTTCAGTTTGCTTTCACGCATGTACCAACAATGGGAAAAATTAAAGAAGCCTCAACCCAGGAGTTCTGAGGAGAAATTGTCTATAAGAAGGCATGGAACACTGGTGGAAGACAAAAGCTACAAACAGAAGGATGCATCCTATGATGTACCATGAGCTTGGTGCAGGACAGCAAAAATCACTCATCTTCCCTTTTGAGAAAGGAACTAGCACCAACAAGGGATTAGTTCTTTAAACTGCTTGTAATTAACACTCAGATCTTTGGATGGAAAATACAGCAAATTGCTACAGTTTCCTTGTAATGCTAGAATAAATGTCCTAGAGTGCTGAGACCCACAGTTCTACAATGAAATACAGAATATTGGCAAATTATATTCCATTTACACTGATTATATGTTTCCTATAAAATTTAATGAATAAAGCCTGTTAAAATAATTAAATTTAAATATTGCATTCTGTATCTTTATGTAAACACTGGCACTCAGTAATATCTAAAAGACCCTTTCAAGAAATTACGTAGCTTGTGGCACATTTTTCCCTGTTTCTTATGGAAATAAGGCTACAACATTAGTCTGTCTGCACAACTCTGTTCCAACAGAGCAGTGATCTTGCAAATACGACTAACAGGCTCAAAATACAGTATGTAGGGGACAGTCGAGTCTTATAAAAAACAAGCAATCAGGATTAGCACAGCCCTAATAGCAGACATCCATGTAGCATGGGCCCTACAGATGCCAGAAAGGGAAAAGCTTCATCTGGTATTTGCAGGTCCAAAGGCAGTGACAAACCAGAAATCCAAAAGAAATTAGACTGTCTTTTTCCCAGATTGATGCCAAATGGTAAGGGAGGCAAACTGGAACACGGGATGGAACGTAGATGAGACAAAGTTTTGTTGAATCATCTAAGAGTATACAGATGTTACGCTGCCCCGATTACAACACTGCCAGCTTGTACTCCAACACTACATAACCTGTATTAGAAAACATGCCCAGATGTTTCCAAGGAAAAGTGTTTCCGTTTCAGAAACTCAGTAGTTCTGTACCGCAAGTTGACAGATAAAGTCTTTTCCAGAAGACATGTCCAACACACGCTTCACAAGGGAGCCTTGTTTTCAGTACATGCTCTGCTTGCTGCCTACACAATTCAGCTGAGAGGACTGGCAGGTTCAGCGCCATCCCAAAGAACGGTGCTGCACTGCATGGCACCAATTCTCCACAACATGGTAGAGCTCTGAAAGAGGTGACTCAGACCTCTCCTTTGTGCAGCTTCCATAGGAGGTAGAAATCTAAATTGCATAACTCCACTTTTTCTTTAGGAAGGAAAAGTAAGTTTTAAAATTGAAATTAAGCTTCCTCATTTCATCATTCTTTTTGTTGGCAATGACTTCGTAAGGTGAAACTACAGGATGTTGGGGGTACTTGATGTAAGCCTGGATGTCGATTAGTCCGCTCATACGGATGTTTTTAGCATTGCCAATATCCAATGTGAAATGTAAACATCAAGCAAAAAATATATACAAGATTTTTAATTCATTCCCAAGAAATTACCATAAATTGTTCTAAATACATTTCACACATCTTCGTAAATATATTTTTCAGAGTGCAAAGACTTCCAAGCCCCAGATCTGAGTAAAATACAGCATTTTTCTGATGGAGTAAGTTTCAGATGGCAGTCACAAACAAGAAGGCATATCTTATTTCCTGTATTTCACAACACTTTTAACTGAAACACATGTAAAGGAATAAGACCTGAAAGACAATGGATTGTGGTTGTAGAGTAACACCAAAAATTTTAGATTGCAAATAACTTTTCTAACAATCAATGATGACAGTTTTACACTTTTGAATCATTGCTCATTGTAGTATCTGTATAACGAAGTTCTTTAATACTGTTGAAATCTACCACTGTAACTGCTAATCGGTTCTTAGGGTCAGAATGTATACGCCTAAATTTATCCCCAGATGACACCACATTACTGTTACTCTACAGTCTTTGCACACTGTGACACTGAAAAAGTAACTGCTGCCCTATATAATTCTTAAAATAAGCAATTTGAATCTTAAAAGCTTTAACATTCTCAGAAAAAAAAATCACTAGCAACTGCTAGAGCAAGTTAAGCAATTCGTTTCTGGGATGTTTTAACAAAGTAATTTATTTCTTACTCTAAATGAAGTTAATACTAGCACAATGTTGAGTTTTTTTATTTTAAAGATATACTAAAATTCCCAAACAACCTTAAATTGGTTATGAGCTTAAACTACTGAAATAACCCATTAAATATTTACAAGAAAAAAAAAAAGTTCACAGCACCATACCTGTGCCCTTGCATGAACTTCCCCAAGGAGACCTGAGTACTGCTGTTCCAGATACTTTTTTTCTTTCTGCCAACAGCTTTCCTGTGCTTTTATCTCTTCAGCCATTTTGCTAAAAGCATCTTCCTGGCTCTGCTGAAGCTCCTTCATAGTATCTGACTTGTTCTTACAAATATATTCTAGGTGAGATATCTGTGTGACAAGCATTTAAAAAGAAATCCTTTTGCCTCTCAAAACACCTGTTTACTTTAATTGTACACATTAATTTAAGCATAAGCTATTCCACCATAAAATCTGAATTGTAATTTCTTCAACACATTTATTAAAACTAAGTAAAAGTCTTTCACGACAGATTACTTACTTGAATCCTGCAACAAAACTGAGACACATTTTGGAATAATGAATTTTCATTGGCTTCAGTTTTGCCATCCTTATACCATCTTGCAGATATCTGTGGCCTTCTTTGTTGGAAACCTGAACTGGACACTTTCCATATTTTTTTGAAACAAGTACATTAAATCTTGTGCTGCTAAATTAGTGGTCTCAGTATAACAGTCCTTTAGAAGTTTGCAAGGATTGCAAGTAACTGAAAAAACAGCCCTTAATTTTATTTTTTTTTTATTGGAAAGCCAATACATTCCATATATTAATATGATTATTTCAGGAAATTTTAGCGCAGAGAATGTTTTTCTTATAAGTAGCTCATTAGTGTATGATGTGTTTTCAGCAAGCATGAAGGCATTCACTCTGTGGTTTAACTTTGCAGCTCCCATGCAAACTAAATAGAGTAATGAATCAAGCTAACAATGACCTCTGAATACACATGCCTACACTTTGCAACCAGAGAATATCAGCAAGATACCTTCCAAACAGATCACACAAAACTGCAGAAAAATCTTGTTGTCAGAAAGCAGGTACAACACAGGTAACAACAGTGCCCCAAATCCCTGAAAAGCTGGTAAGTACATGAAAAGAGCCCTAGAGACCTCACAATCAATCTCAATAACCATACTAAATTAAAAAGCAATAAACAATAAGACACACCCCCCACAAACACTGCCAACAATATTCACCCCCTTCCCTTCCACTCCCTTTCCACTTTACTTCAAAAGGGAAATAGAAATGTACACCCAATCTGCATAATTCAGAACTTATTTTATGCTACCCTTCTTTAATGATTTCCATTGACTGCTGCAGTAGTTACTAAATGATGGGCAGAGACAAAACAATTCACTGTAACAAACCCTGTCCCATACTCGGGCCAGAAGA